TGTGATACCTGGGCATTGTGGGTAATTTTGCATGCTCAATTTTGTGATACCTAGGCATTGTGGGTAATTTTGCATGCCCAATGTTGTGATACCTAGCCATTGTGGGTGATTTTGCATGCTTTATGATATGATACCTAGGCATTGTGGGTAATTTTGCATGTTCAATGTTGTGATACCTAGCATTGTGGGTAATTTTGCATGCTCAATGTTGTGATACCTAGACATTGTGGGTAATTTTGCATGCTCAATGTTGTGATACCTAGGCATTGTGGGTAATTTTGCATGCTCAATGTTGTGATACCTAGGCCTTGTGGGTAATTTTGCATGTTCAATCTTGTGATACCTAGGCATTGTGGGTAATTTTGTATGCTCAATGTTGTGATACCTAGGCATTGTGGGTAATTTTGCATGTTCAATGTTGTGATACCTAGGCATTGTGGGTAATTTTGCATGCTCAATGTTGTGATACCTAGGCCTTGTGGGTAATTTTGCATGTTCAATCTTGTGATACCTAGGCATTGTGGGTAATTTTGTATGCTCAATGATATGATACCTAGGCATTGTGGGTAATTTTGCATGCTCAATGTTGTGATACCTATGTATTTTGGGAATTCCCTATTCTCCAAATGACTTTCCCTATAGTGTACCTTGCTAGCATGGGTTTTTAAAATCACCTAATAATAATGTTACAATGCTAACAACATAATACCCTGATTTGCAATATTTGCGATATATAACAATTTCTACATGGATCTTAGGTTGTATTTTTGTAAACCGGTGTTCTCATAAATTGTCAGCCTAGTGGTGTCTGTTCTAGATTTCATATTTATATTCCAAGGCTTTGCATTTTTGATGATGACACATTGATGATATCATAAATTTGATTTGTATGCTATACTGTAAAGAACATGCATGTTTCATGGGGAGTTTAATTGCATAATTCACAAAAAATATTAACATATAGACAATAATAATTTGTATGATAACTTCTAGCAGGTTTCCCTGTTTTGTTTAGTTAATTTTAGCCTTGCAATCACTATGAACAGTGCTCATAGTCATCTTTTATTCAGTTAGATACTGTAAAATACTTTATTTTAGCTGGAATTCATTTTTGCTGAAAAGACGTTTCGGGTGTTTTGTATGGCATTAATTTTCAATGATTTTTGATGAGTTGAATGTGAAACATAGGATAAAAGGTATATTCACTGGATTTCATTTACACTTAATCATCCCTTCAGCGAAAATAGCAAAAAATAATTCCAAGCGAAAAT